GCTGCGTTTGTGGAACAAGCAGATATATTTACCTACTCACCCTGTGCAGTTCCAAAAAGCATGCAATAAGAAACAGTCTGCTTGATTTTACTATGTAGCCCATTACTAACAGATTTCAATACTGCACCATCTGGTAGACTGGGAACATGATCAGCAAGTTATAGATTTAAAAATATATGTATATACACACACTAATTCTTAAGTTTGTCACAACAGTTATGAAAGTTCAAGTTTCTAGAAAAACAAGAGTTTAAAACCTCCATACTGGTTTCAAGAGAATCAAGAATTGCGTGTGCGTGTTTTAAACCTCCACAACTCTTCCTCAGATGTCTCATGGCTTTATAGTGTGAAAGCCTAGAGGGGACAGCATAGTTTGTATTTTAATACACTACCTGAAACCACTGATTTACAGTTATGATACAGCCTTTCCCTTTTCACTAACCACTCTTCTGTAGGTGTTTCTAACTATAGTAAAACTTAGGTTGAAGATGACATTGGGGAGGACTTCCATTAGAAATAATTTAAGAACCACATTTGTTGAAGGAAACACAGTCCATTCTTAGTTCTTTGATATCTGTAGTGCTATTCAAAAACATGTTTGCATGCCTAACAATAAAGTACTCCAGAAAATTTCATTTTTACCAGTTGCGTTTGCCCAGACAGAGCTACTGAAGTCACAAAGACAGGGTATCTCGTTCCATTCCACCCTGCTTAAAGCTCACAAGAAAAAGCACATGTGTAGCCCTGTGCAGGTTCTAGGCAAAGCAAATCCCAGAGAGTCTTCTGCCTTTTCTTTCTGCCCTATTCCACTCAGTCCCCTTCCTACCACTGCCAAGGGAAAACAAAATAAAAAACAGGCTACAACTGAAACACCCAAGAGAAACCTACTATATTGGTAACATTTTTAGCCAGGTAACCTGTTTCAGTGTTGCCTTTGAAAAGGCAGACAACTCGTTTGCTCACTCCCATGCAGCAGAGAACAGGAGGGGGAGGAAGGCAAAATAGAAGTATCTTCATAACTCAGAAGCCACACACAGAATGTTCTGTGAAACTACACAAACAAACTTACCTTGAAAACATGCCTCTAGAAGACCTGAATATACCTGGTGGTACTAGATTATCACATCCCACAGCTCTAAGACACCTTGACATGGATCGAGTGTGGAAACAGTAAAGGGTTCTGGCTTTGTCAGAGTGTCATGGTCAGTTAAGGCTAATGCAGGTGCTAGTCATTATAGCTATAACACTTGTATTGTTTGCAGCCGCCTTCTCCCTCCTCCCCCATTTTCAGGTGCACCTGATGAATCAGGACAAAACAGCTCCGCAGTTTAGCCACATGTGTAATAACTTTGACGAAGAGTTGCTTGTCCTGAACTAACAATTACAGCATTTTCTAGAGAACTTTTATGGATGGATTGTTCCAGAAGTCTGAAAACACTGTAAAATACAGATGGCTTTAGCCTTCAAGTCCTATCAGTACCCATGTGTGTAATCTTCAAAAAACAACTTAACCTGATAGTATGAAAGCCTTTCAAATAGTATTCCCCATAGGGCAGTGATCCATAACCCAACAAAAAAGGCTGGACAAACAGTCTAACTACACTTGACCTGAACAGGCTCACATTTAACAGTGGTGGTGACAAAGTGGGGGTGGGGACAGAACCAAAATCAGAAAAAAGAAAAAAAAACAACCACAAAAAAACAAACAAAAAGCCTCTGCACACAAACAGAGCACATGAAGTCAGGGACTACCTAAAGGTAGATCAATACCTGTAGAGCTGACCTTATCACATTCACTTTCCTAGTATATTGCAAAAGCAGTCATAAACTCAGAAGTAAGCAACTTACACCATATCCTAAGCTTATCATCAGCAGTAACAAGCCTGATTTTACAGGGTATAAGCAAGATGAGCAGTAAAACCAATGGTGGCCCCCATGATCTCTTCTCCCTCTTGTTTAAATAGCATACTGTCTTAAGCAACTGCTTTTTTCTTACCTCTGTACAATGTCAGAAATAGGACTGGCTGTAGATAACATAAGAAAAATGTGTGTCCACACCTAAAAGCATAAAACCTCACCAACAATAATGCCACACACTGCACATGGAAGGCTAAAATCCCCTCATGAGACTGACATTGGAGGCAAGGTAATTTTGTTCCAGTTCAAAGAAAATCAGCTTATTGATAATTGTCAGCTAAAAATAAAACCTGCCAATTAACCTAAAAGTATTATTAAAGTAATAGGGCCCATCTTAAGTACTCATTTATATGGCATAAAAAAGGATTTTATGTACCTTCTCTTAACTAAATGCAGCATATAAAATCAGAATGGAAATAAATTCCACAGCAGATTTACATCTGTAGTAGTTAAATTCTTTCACAATTGCCTCTTCCCTAATACACTGCATTTAGAAACATCAATAGATCTAGCCAGAGAAAAAAAGCACACAGGCATGCTGCCCCAGCATTCAGGTTTAGATATTCCTCACCACTCTCATACCCCTGGCATAAAGAATACTATCCCTCTCCTCCCCCATCTCAATTTTTTAGTACACAAACAAGTCAGAAGAATATTTAAGACATTTCTAAATACTCATGATCAAAAACCGTCCATGAACATAATGCAGAATATCCTGTATCACAGAGTCATTCAAGATCACCTCTTCAAGGGAGGCTCATTTAAATGCAGGAGTTGAAGCAACCTCCAGTGTCAGACTGTAGTGTCCAATATCATTTTACATGCTACCAATGGCTTGATTTCACAGACAAATAGAACGAAGACACCCCTTCATTCTCAGGGTTCTTAAAAGAATAAAAGACTGAACACCCTTTTCTATGCAACTGTAACACAGAAATTCATCTTGAAGATTTTGACTGTGATTTCTTGTCCATTATTAATGAAAAAACCAGCTCAAGATCAAAAGATAATGTTCTATTGTAAAGGAGATTTCCTTCTCCTTCCTACTCTGCTTTTTGTCTCAACTATACATTAGCCTCAGTGATACCATGCAGAAAACTGATAAGCAGACAATGCAAACTTCCAAGTTATTAAACCCAAAGCCAGGATGAACACGGGTTTCAAATGAAGAATTAAAAGAAAAAAAAAAAAAATTAGCCAAAGCAAACCCAAATCTCACACAACTTATATGCAAAATAAAAGCAGCCTGAAAACAGCATGCTGTCATGAGGAAAGGGACTTCAGCAAGGCTGAATACTGGGTTTATTCTGCCTGCCTTCACTTCTTTTACCCCTCACTCTCCCAGTCTCTGTCTTCAGATCACAGCAACAAATCCACTGGTATTAATTAAAAATAAAGTAAATAAATAAGAAAGTAAAAGAGTTGACAAATTCTGAACAAGTCAAACAGCTCATTACAACTGCAAACAGTAATTAAATTACTGTATGCTTTCATGCAGTCTAGTTCAAGCACAAATAAAAATAATCCAGAACACACACACTAAAAAACAAAACAAAAAATACCCACAAGAAAACCCCAACCCACTGTTTTGCCTGCTTCCTCTAAACCCAAGCTCTTATGCTGGGGCTTTCACCCAGATACTATTTTGAAGCTATGCTGTATTTATAATTAGAACATACACATCTGTGTCTCATGCGTAGCGGCTCATTATAAGCCAGAAACATTTCACGAGAAAATATTTATTTTTACAATAGTGATGACAGAACCTTAAGCTTACTTTAAGTGTCTGTTTTAACTGCATAAGAGATACTGTATAGCTACACATTACTGCCTCTCACACTTCTAGATTTGCTTGTTTTCCCTTGTTATTCCAGAAAGAATCCAACATAAAATTTTCTGTTAACTTTAAGAGATTTAAAGGCAGAATCATTCTTTTTTGGTTTGTTTTGTTGGTTTTTTGTTTTTTTCCTTAACAGGTTAAAGAGGAAGGCGACACTGCCTGAACCAGAGACTGGTTTAAAACTGTGTTCACCGGATGAGCTGGCAAAGTGGGAAGCTTCTCTTTTAAAAGAAAACCTCACTGTGCTAAAGAGTAGGAGCAGAAACGACAAACAGAACCAACTTTAGAACCAAACAAAGAGGACTCTGGGAATTATGTCAACCTCAGACAGCATCCCCAACCATATTCAGCACGGTTTTACCCCAGAATCGCTATCACCTCCGGAGGTATGCGACCTCAGGGGGCGGGAGGGAGGAATAAATAAATAATTTTTTTTAAGTCTCATCTCCAGCCCTCAAAAGCGGAATTTCATTGCAGTTGCAAGGCAGAAATGGGTAAGACACATGGAAATCAACCTTTTATTTGCAGCATTCCTTATCCCTTTCGTTATTACCAGAGACAAGAGAAGTCACCTCTGAAACTTACCGAGGCTACAGGATGATCAGGAGGAAAATGCAGATAGCAGGGTGTTTGGAACCGCCTCGCTATCAGATAAACCCAGATGAATGGCAGACGGGGCCATTCTAGCCCAGGTATTTCCCGCACCCACCCGCTCTGCTCCGGGTGCGCAGGCGAGGGTCAGACGGCTCCGAACACAAATCCATAGCGACCCCAAGTCTCTCACTGCTCCGGGAGGAACCTCCACCCAAACTCACCCTACCGAGATACGCATCACACAGCGATGCGAGAAGCCTTCAGCTTAACACACCCGTCTCCCGCCGATGCCTCAGGAATCCCTTTCTAACTACACTCAGCGCTAAAGTTGCAACGGTTAGAAAGAGGTAAAGGCATTTACACACTGCTCTGGGAATCCCCTCATCCCCAGCCCTGCGAGTACTCAATACACACAACCCGTCTGCAATCCTCTCCCTCCTCCCCTCAGGGAGACACATCCATAGTGGGGAGGGGGACGAGAGGGCGAGGAGAGCCGCCCCTCAGGGCCAGCCCCAAGCTGCTCCCTTCCCCGGCAAGGGGCACACCTCCCTCCAGTATCTCAGTCCCACCCCAGCGCTGGGAGCAGGGGAACAAGAGCTACAACTCTCCTCCCTCCACTCGTTACTCCCTCCCTCCAAACCCCACTCACCTGGGAAAGGAGCCAAAGCTCAGCTACGTCTCCTTCTCCCCGTCTCCCCCGCGCTCAACCTCACGCCGCCATTTTCCTCGCTGCCTGGATTTAAATAGGAACCAGCCTGCCCGAGAGCGGCCGCCGGGCGGCGCGAAGCACTCTGGGACCTGTAGTGCGGCTCCGCGCGGGGCATCTCGGGACCTGTAGTGCCCAGCGCCACCGCTCCCACTGGTCCCCGCGGCAGCGGCGCGGCCCCGCCCGGCCCGGTGGCGGGAGCCGGCGGGGATGGGCAGGAGCGTGTCCGCCCGTACCGTTGCTGCCGCCCGCCGGTACGGTCCCCACCCGGCAAGCAAGGCAGCCGCCGGCCGTGCTTGATGCTCGGTAAGTAGCGGTTTACGTGCATGAAGGATTAAAGTGCAATAGAGTATCAGCCCTGCGCTGCACTCCACCACAACTTAGAGGTGAAAGCCACAGCTTCACCAAGCACCACTTCTTTCCCTTTCAATGAAGAAAAAACCTAGTCTAGTAAAGAGAATGTTTAACAAAATGCAAACGGGTTACAATAAAAGTTTAAAAGCACATAAACAGCTTCTGTTACTCTCTACCTCAGGTGTGGGTTTTCAAATGAACATGTAAGAATGGTTCACTTGCTGTCTGTGAAAGCGAGGACATGAAGGGCTGCAGACTTGCAATATGGAACCTGCCCATGCCACCGGTTGCTTGCAGAAATACTATTTTCATAAACACTTCTAAAACTACTATTTAAAACTTTGCAGACTAAGGCTGGGTGGAGACCACAGCATACTTCAGGTTGTGTGAGTCATAAAGCAGCCTTATAAAAATGCTTTTCTTACTTTAAATGTGTGAAATAATGAAAGTGCATGGACTGAAGTCCTGCCAAGATATTCGTACAGAGCTCATTCTAGATGGACAGACAAGTAGAGCCATTAAGTAGACCTTCCAGCAATTCCCAAATAAAAAGATATGTCAAACTAGTGCTGGGCTCTCATGAGCAAGTTACTGGCACAATATGAGTCTCCAGCTATCTCTGAAGTGAACATTACAAACCATAAAATCCAGAGATAATTAACATATGTCAAGTTCTGGGGAAAAAAAACAACCAAGTTCCACATTATTTACCTTGCAGTTACGCTGCACAAGAACTCACTGATTAAAAATGTCCGTACTTACAAACTCAGATTTAGCCAGCTAGTAGAGACAGATTCCTCACGTTACCACAGCAGAAAAAGGGTTCATGTTGTCAGAGTACCTTAACAGGTGTGATGGCCTGTTCCTCACAGCATGCGATCTGCTGTTTAATGGTTCCACTTCCTCCATTCCAGGTGGTTGGTTTTTTGCAGATTGTTCTCTTCTTCTATTATGAATTAGAGCATTTATGAGGGCAGAAACAAAGGAAGCATGCAGGGAGGAAGAGGTTCATGAGGAGCAGCAGCAACCCTGGAGATTAGTTACAGTGGAGTTTTCTTTCCTTTTGGCAAACTGCGTATTATCCATATTTCTTCCATTTAGGCCACAAAATCCTTAAATTACACTTACATCGCATACCTTAGACTCAAGACTAATACAGAACTTCTAGTGTCAATAGAGAACAAATACTGAGCATCTATTCACCCCTTTTTAACCTTTAGTTCCTGTTCTAGCGATTATAAATAGGTAACTTCAAAATTAGTTCTGATTTAATCACTATATCCTTCATTACATAAAGTGCTTTCACTTTTCATTGATATGTGATGCTTGACAAAAATTAACCCACAAATAATAGTAAATGTAGCTGTAGAACTGTAGTGTTTAACAGTTGTGTCTATTTGCTCCACCTGCTGGTGCATATTCATTTAAAGCAGGCTTTAAAAGCGCACATGTATTAAAAATTTGGTCAAAGATGTACATGAGACATTCTTGACCATAAGCTGAATTTGTGAGACATACCAATTAAATCCAATCTGATTCCAACATTTTCTCAGTCAAAAAAAAAGACAGTGGAAGCCCAGATGTATGGAAACGTAACCCACAGCTCACCTTTCAGATGCTGTCATTCAGTTTTATTGTGACAATAACACAGACAGTCACCATTTTCCACCATCTATTCTACTACAAGAAGTGTTCTCACTCACATGAGCATCTCTTATTTTAAATGTGTGAAATGTGCCCATGGCCAGTAAATTCATAAACTCAGTTCCAGCTACTGAGGTTTAAAGCTAAGCATCTAAAATTTCACAGTTCACAACATCAGTGGTTTTCCACCCATTTCTGTAACTGCTAGACATTTTTTTGTGGTAGAAGTCAACACTGAGATGGATTAAGAAAGGCAGTACATACATGCTTTCAGTTAAGTAGATGCAGCAGCCCATTTTAACATTAAGAAACAAATGCAGATAAAACATTGCCTTCTCTATCCCAATTCATCTATCAACAAAATGGTGAAACTAATTAATATTTAGAGTTACTTCGCATTCAACAAGCCTGAGCATTTAGAAATTCTGGCATTTTTCAGAACTTGCTGGAAGCTCCAGCTCCCAGACAACATCCTGCGTTCTTAGAACCTACCCTGAATGATTTCAGTTTTCGGTGGACTTGAACAGGAGCAGGCAAGAGCAACACTACCGTCCACATTGCTCTGCCACCCTACAACCTCGACTCTATTCCGTTTCTTGTGGCCAAATCAAAACCTCAGTAAGAAGAGAATGTAAAACGTACCAGCTAAAGAAGGTTTCTTGTTACTGTGCTTTTAAAACCAAGACAACTTGTTTATTCCTGTAGATCTGTAACAAGCTGTTCTGCACTCCCTAAAAGATGCCCTTCCTTCTATCTCTAAAATAATATTTAGGAGATAAAACAACTCTTATATACCCAGTAGGAGGAAAGGAAGGTTAAAAGTAAAAGGACCTAATTTTGGTTTCTCAACAAAGCAGATGCTTAGTAATATTCTATATTTTGATGTGCACATGCCTCGTTGCAAAGACCTCTGGCATATGAGTTCAGGTTAAAATTAGATTGTGACAAGATACAACATACAGTTGATTTACAGAAATTAAACCCTTAACTATTAAAAGAGCTTAATAGGATCATTCATTAAAATATTACATCATTAGGGAACACGCCTCAACATCTGTGCTGACAGATTTTATGCAGCTTCAGCAAAGGCTTGAAAACTGAAACAGGAAGAAGCGTTCAATGAGACTGTTACTGTATGTGACATTCCTTATATTGAAAGAGGTAAGAAACACAATCAGCTTAGTTTGGAAAACACTGACAAAGCAATATTTAAACAAATAATAACTTTAAAAATCCCAACAACACAACAAAAAAATCCACAAAACAAACCTCACTAAACACAACCCTACCACGCTGCAGTATCTAACCTAGAGGTCAAGTGCGGCTTTCTGACCCGTTTCTCCCATGGCACTTAGGCTCTGTGTTTGTAAGAGTTCTGAAGACCCTCTGTGGCATAAACATGACTTTGCAATACTCTCATTACCCCTGGCTTAGGTTTGGCTTTAATTAGCATTTCTTTGGCTAAGCACCTATGTATGAGAAATCTACTGTGCCTTTTTTTGTTTTTTGATTTCGTAACAAGATGCCTGGATTGACCTCAGATCTTGCTGTGACATGAGGGTTTGGGACTGGTTAAAGTATTTGGTTAAAGAAAACTAATTTCGAAGACATTATACATTATTAGCAATGCTTCCAAAAGCTGCAGTTCAAAGAAGTTGCCAAGCACTTGGGAATTCCTAGCTGATGACCTCTGTCTCATACCTTCCCTATAAAATGGTGTTTAACATGTGGAACAATCTCCGACTGTGGCAGGCTTTCTTCCTAACCAAGGAACAAACCAACAAATGTTAATTTAAACAGTGTAAATGGATTTTAAAAAGTAATTGCAGAGATAAGCTCAGAATCACCTTAGTCTTGTAAATTTTAAAGTTTCTTAAAATACCTCTGAGCAAGTACTCATTTTCACCCAAGTTCTACTTGTCTGACTTCTCATTCCCACTCAGCCAGAAAGAAAAAAATATGACATTAAAAGAAAACCAAATTGTCTTCATCATCTCATTTAACCACCACTTGGCATTTCAGATTTCACACTCTAATAGCAAGCCAATGAAAAACAGAAACTTAAGAATCAATGTCCAAATTCGGTTTACTTCCAAAAGCATATACATTTGTGGGTTTTTTGTTAATTAATTAGTTTTTACACCAACCTGCTCATTTTTCCTTGTAAACTCATCTTTATATCTGTAAAGTAATTACCCTGTGAGATTTGCAAGAACATTGGTTTAAATAAATTAAAACCAGACTTTTTGTTACATTTTCCTTAAACATCTTCATAATAAGAAGCATAGAATTAATTTCATGCACTTGGTGTTACTGTAAGTATGTATCCAAATATATTATATAGAGACAGTGATTTTCAATTTAAGAAAAAAACCCAACTGTCATGTTGTAAGAAAATTCTTACATCAAGTACATGTGCATGGAACACAATAGTAGCTATCCATATACTTGCGTTGTTTTTGTATTTATAAAATTAGAATTTAAATAAACTCTCCCTAAAAAAAAAAACCAAACAACCAAAAAACCCTCAAGTGTCTTTCAAATAGCCATCATGCTATTATGCATGTTATGCTATAAGACTATTTAACAGTGTAATCAGTTTATTGAAGTGGCAATATTAGGAAAGTATTTTCTGATAATACTGAAAGAAAAAGATCTCTAGAGTTCAAACTTGACTATTTTACATGCCTAGAATTGGATACTGGCACCTAAACCACTATGTGGATTCACTTTTAAAAGCTTGTAGACATATATGTGCACAAATTGAAATCTACAGGGACCGTAAGCTCATAGGTGCAGTACACATCAAAGAAAAGTGTCTTGTGTGCAGCATGCTGAGAAATACTTGAAGGCTAAGCAAATTTCACCCAAACTGCACAAAAGATTATACTTCTATCTAACAAGGCATTCATTATTATGTAAGTTGATAAAAAGTAAGTGCAAGTGTATTCCAGTTCCATGTGAGAAGTTTATAGGCTTATGTGAATTGGTGTAATATTCCTACAACCTATTTGACCAGAGAAAAGTTATGGCAAGCAAGAAAGTGAATTCAATTAAACTTATCCAACATTGAGATACCAGCCTGAGATCTATGGGTTACTTAGAAAAATACCATTAATCTTTTTATAATATGATCATATTAATATTAAAATCTTATCCAGACAAAGTGTTCACATAAGAAGCAAATTAATACCATCATCGACATAAAACTTTTGTGAGACTCCACTTGAGTACTGTGTGCAGTTCTGATGTCCTCAACATAAGAGGGACATGGAGCTGTTGGAGCAAATCCAGAGGAGGGCCACGATGATGATGAGGGGCTGGAGCATCTCCCATATGAATACAGACTGAGAATATTTGGGCTGTTCAGCCTGGAGAAGAGAAGCTAATGTGGAGACCTCATAGCAGCCTTCCAGTATCTGAAGGGGGCCTACAAGGATGCTGGAGGGCGACTCTTCATCAGGGACTGTAGCAATAGGAGAAGGGGTGATGGGCTTAAACTTAAACAGCGAAAGTTCAGGTTACATATAAGGAAGAAGTTCTTTACTGTGAGGGTGGTAAGGCAATGGAACAGGTTGTCCAAAGAATCGATGAATGCTCCATTCCTGGCAGCAGCTCAAGGCCAGGCTGGACAGAGCCTTGGATGGCATGGTCTAGTGTGAGGTGTCCCTGACCATGGCAAGGGCATTGGAACGAGATGATCTTAAGGTCTTTCCAACCAAAATCATTTTGTGATTCTGTGAAAACCCTTGAGTCAGTCTAAAGGAAATAATTATCTACAGGTTTTTCTTTCTTAAGAAAGAAAAGGTTTTTCTTTCTTAAGAAAGAAAAAAGGTTATGCTTGGTGAAACATTCTTTCCAATATGGTTTGAGTACCTCCCTTGAACATCTTCTGAATAGACTCAGAAGTTTAAAACATTAATTATAAACTTAAGGGGCGGGGGGGGGGGGGGACGGGGGACAAGCAGTTGAGGAAAAAATTTCTGGCACATCTAACTACAAGCATGAAACTGGCTCTTTAGAAATAGTTAGAAGTTTTGGCTTTTATTTCAAAAGGACTAAGATTATATTATAAATTATTCAGCTACTTTCCTTCCCCCCATCCCTGGCGAATACAAGACAGTACAATCCAGTGCAAAAGCCAACAGGCAGTCTAGTATTTTTCCTAAGGCACATGGTTTGCATCTTTACTGAAGATTAGTCTCACCTTCATACTGAAAGATTAGTGATGTCCTGTCAGAATTTGTCCTCTTTCTAAACCTGCAATTTTTAAAGAGAAATCAGGTATAGAACATGTTTCCTTTTTTACCAGGCTACTTCAGATATAACTGTTATTCCATGTAAGATGAAGAAAGAAAAAATTATTGGGAAGAGAAGGGGAGACAGACAGGCACAGTAAAATCTTTTTGGTACAGCATTCTCATTTTCTAAAAACAAACAAATAGACTTAAAAAAATAAACTTAGATTTACACAGCCTTCTGCAGCATCTGTAATGCAAATATTACAGAAATGTAATAACTTCCGATCACTGAACCAGAAGTTCATGCCAATTCAGCTGTTGTGAATCTTGGAGATGCCTACCAAGGTACCTCAGAGATGACTGTGTCATAAATGTAGAGTTATCAACAAACTTATTTAAAAAAATATAACCTGATAGTGTCCATTAAAATAATAAGACATCCAAGTAACAGCTCTGTGGTGTCAATTTTTTATGTCAAGTCTTCCATCAAATGTTTTCTGATACTAGCTTATATCCTCATACTGTTTTTGATTTTCTTGTTCTTGGTGATGCTCCGTCTTCTGGCTTTGCTGCTCCGCTGGCAAAGTTCGCTGTAATTTAAAGTACAGTAAACAAACTCAATTTTGCTTCACATGAAAAGATAAAGAAACTAGACCAGGGAAATAAAATACATTAAACAAGTGTATAGACACATTATCTGAATTCTCATCTTAAGAACTGCAGGACAAGAGGTGTCTACCTTCAAGTAGACTACAGAAATAACTTGCAGCTTTGGCTGCAACCAAAGTAGAACCCAAGCTTCAGTGGAAGCCAAGCTCTACTTCAGAGTATCTCTACAAGTGTGAATACTTTTGCAATTACAAATAATTAACTGATAAACAATGTACAACATCTTTCCACATATGCTGCCAGAGCTGTAACACCTGTGCAATTCTTTGGTTTGCTCAATGAAATCAAAATACAGTAAAACTTCTGCTATTCCAAAGCATAAACTGTCTTGGGAGCTTAATTGCAATGAAGTTATTTATCTGCAAAGAAGAGAAGAATCTTAAAGATTCTTCTGGAGGAAGAAAAGAAAAAAGAAATTCTCTGCAGGTACAGTCAGAACAGAAAGGCTGCTCTGGAATGATAAAGAAAACCCATGTTATGAGCACCACTATGGCCTAGAATCTACCAACTGGTTTCAGCTAATGCTGACTCAGCTAGTAATCTCGGAATGCAAAGAGCTTCAAGGCCTCTTAGTAGAAACTATTATATAAAGATCAACTTCACAGAGAGCCAGCCTGTGGTAAAATTCTCAAGAAATCGCATTTTTCAAAGCTCTACCCAAACCTCAGAAGTTATTCCCAATTCTTCATACATAATGCTATCCAGAGCTTTATATATATATATATGCTAACAAGAATATGCAATTTCACTCTACCAAGTCTTCACAAGTCCCATTTAACTAATTTAATTGATATAACATTGGCATTCAGAAATTATACAACATCATTCAATTAAAAGCCTTTCTCCATTAGTTCTCCTTTGCCAGACATTATGATGTTCCTTTTCAGAGGTTTGATGTTCTTTACATGACGTGTCTTTATACAGAAGAACTAACTTTATTTTAATGGTCTGAAACATAATAGAAGTAGAATTTATAAAATACAGAAGTGATTTCAGGTACTTCCCCCCCCCCCCCCCCCCCCCCGTGTTAAATCCAAAAAAAAATATTAGTGGCATTGGAAAAAGCTGATTTAAAATGGAAAGAAAACCCTGGAATAATTTAGGCCAGTTTCATGAAATACTACTTGCATTTTGATTAACAGAGAGTTCAGTGAATAAACCTGAAAGGTACCCTGGCCTAACGCTTAATACAACTAGCACTGTGTGCTGTCCTCTTAGCAATAGGGAATTTGAGAAGATGTCCTAACATTTGAAGAGACTATAATATTACCTATATTATCTGCATGTCAAAAGACAGATATTTTCCTGTTTTATAGAATGGAAAGATGTGATACATTTGGTATAAAAACATTTGGCCTAGAAGCGATCTAAAAAATCTACACCACTGACCTTTGCCTGGTTCCTTTTTTGTTCGTTTCTTCTTTGGGTTATTTGTTTTTTTCTCTGGAATCTGGTCCTTAATACACTCCCTCCATTTCTTCAGCTGAAAATGTACAAATTTCTGCATCATCCAGGCCTGTGTTAGACAAACAGCACCCAGGCAGCCAATCCTAGTAAGATTCGAGATTTTGGAGACACTTAGATGAAAGTTTCAGTTAACCATTAACAGACTATGAGTCTGTACTTATTTTATTTTTTTCTCCAACAGGCTAATATAAAAACAATGAAAATCTTCATACCACAAGAAAACAGACCTATCAGAAGGTTTTGCCCAAGACAAGATGCAGCACACAAGAAGTGAATGGGAATTGTATGCAAGCATATTACTAGAAGCAATTGGGTTTGTCAAGGAGCTATAGCCATAGGTTTCATTGGCTGACAGGAAATTGTGGCATTGAGGCCCCTTCTGCCAAGCAATCTATGAATGAGAAATCACATAGATTCAAAATTCCTCCCACTCCTTTGATTACAGGCATTAAGTTATAAGAGAGAATGTTGAAGTGATGAGCTTATGCTGAAAATGTAATAAAATTTTTAAATTAACAAGCAAAAAGAAAATATGCACAAAAAAATTTTAGGAAGGCACCAAACAAATAACTAGTTAAAAAATTATGGGTATTAATATCACCAAATGATACTATGTCCAGTACAGACATTGGGATGGGAAGGTTGGGGGGGGGGGGGGAGTTTAAAGAGATTATTATCCCAGGAAGTTTATTTTTAATTGTTTTTCATTTCCCTCCCTCTCTCCCTCCCCCACAAAAATTCTGTTCTACTTCTTTTGTGAAAAGGAGATAGAAAAAGAGAACAAAATTCCCCATCCCTTAAATACTCAAGAGGAAAACATCACCCAGGGAAATTATTCCAACACATTATCCTCCTATATTGCTTTATGAAAAGATTCTTTGAAATCCGCCATTATACACACATGAATGTCTACTAGCCTTGGTATACCTCACAGGGAGTGTATTGAAGTTTCCATCTGCTATGGAAAAACCTGGATTCTCTGCTCTTGCCAGACCAAATCCAAATGTGAGGACAGATAAAGTTACGGTTAAAAGACGCACCATTATGAAAAGTAAAGCCCAAATGATAAATCTGAAACAAAACAATGAAATTAATGTGATTTCTCCATATAATTTACATACATGCAAATCCATTTGTACACAATTAGTAGCAAAGTTCTGAATTTAAATTAATCGTATGCAAGATTTACCCTTTTTGCATGTTTTCATCAGGGAAGTAGAAGAGACGCAAGGCATGAAAAATGAATTCCACAAAATAGTGAGGTACCACCAGAATTAGCCCCAAATGCTGCAAACTATAAAACAGAAAAGTTAGAAATTTCAATGAAATTATGAAAATAATAGATCTATTCATAATAAACATGCAAATACTTACTTTAATATATAGGCACCAGAGATATGAGTAATGTAAAGGCAAATATAACATAGCTGCCTTGGTATATCTTCCTAAAATTGGAGAAATTATAATAAATACTGTTACAGTTTAACTGTATTTTCCAAAGGAAAAAATCTATTTATTCATTAGTTTTGGTTATTTTTTTTCACAGTGCTATATAAACTTCTGGAAGAAGTATCTGAATCAAAAACTACAGACCCCCTAGACTAAATATACATAAGTAACTGAAAACACAAATCACAGAATGGTTTGGGTTGGAAGGGACCTTAAAGCTTATCTAGTTCCACACCCCTGCCATGGATATGGACACCTTCCGCTAGACCAGGTTGCTCCAAGCCCTGCCCAACCAGGCCTTAAACACTGCCAGGGATGGGGCAACTTCTGCCTGTACCTCAACACCCTTGCAGTAAAAATACAAATATGTGGACGTTTATATAGTTAATATAAACAAAAGTATTAATACAAATAATTGGAAAGAATCGATATTTAGTTAACTGTACTGACAACTTCTCTCCATACCTTTTGGACCTTTTGGAAGTATAGCTCTGGCAGTGCATGAAGCCAATAGGCTATCTGGCATATATAGAAGAATTTTTCCTGAAAACTAAGCAATAATTCAGGTTAAGAAAACACAAGCTTTCAACATGAGACACAAGATTTTATTTTATTATCTTAGATTAATTCAGTCTGACTCATTATAGTTTATGATTTCTAAATCACAGTAACCACAAATACAAAACAACTCTGGTGACAGTTTTTTGAATCAGCATCCATTAACCTTCTTGATAGCACATTCTGAATCACCTTTTGAGACAGTAGGAAGGAAAAAAAAAACACACCAAAACATCTAACACACAGAAACAGTTAATCAATTGAGGAGTGGAACTCCCTAAAAATGCATATTAGCCCCCTTCCCTCCATCAGACTAACTGGAGAAAAACAGAACTGGGGGGGCAGACAAACAACACCGTTTTGTAAGTCATGTTACATAAAAATAAATACACCCCCCCCCCCAGCTATAAATCCTCTCTAATTTGAAGATCCATTCTCCAACAAATACATTTCTTAGCGTGAAACATTTCAGCAGTCCTGTTATATATCCCATCTTGCAAACACCTTCACTTTAACTGAGCTACCATGGTTAAGTTAAAGAAAGTTGAGAACACATGTTAAGTATCTCTTGGATTGATGTGCAGTTCATTAAAAATTACCTGTGGATAAAACAGCAATTTTCAAGCAGAACAAAGTACTTTCACCAAGTTGTCATTCTTATGCCTTATGTCATAAGAATGACATAATATCAGTCACTGCCTTATTAGTGGTTCCCTAAAATTTGGGGTGGTTAAATATTCAGTAATTGGAATAACCACAGTTTTTTCAAATTTAAAATAGAACACTTACAGCATACGAGAAAAGGGATAATCTTTCCAGAACGAGGTTAGGTTCATTGCGAATTCTTCCTAAAGAAAAGGGTCATTGATTTAAAGACCTTCTTAATATTTTAAGCCTATTTTTTAAGTAAAATCAGCAAACAGAGCTACTTACTGCATTCAAAATACTTGCTCCCCATATAAATGAAAACAAGTAGAACAATGCAAGCTGTCCTGATTCATTGAATTTGGTCTTCTCCTGTTCTGACAGCTGCAGATACCTATTAATTTTCTAGAAACAAAACGCAGATCAATAAATGTAATTTCCAAACCACAAAAGGTATTTTGGAGTTAGTGTTCACTCCCGATTCCTCATTCTGATCTTCCATTCCTCAATCAAAATACATAGTTCCCACCATTTAAGACTTTGATCAAAACTTTGTATGACAATTAGCTTCAATAAGACTCACCACTGTGGTAAAGTTCACATGGAAAATAGTCAGATAATGTATTAAGACTAATTTTTTTCACCCATAATCAGTCATAGCGCTAAATTTTTGCAATCTCTTTGCACATTTAAAAACCAGCTGAGCTTCTGTGGTACAGATGATCTATTTGATAAGACTTTCTAAGACTATTCAATAATAGATGGTTTTCACAATGGCTTTAACAAATTCATTTTACTTCGCAACTGAGTTGGTGTGAAAGAGCACACATTGAAGCCTCAGCCCTCTCTTTGAGGCAAAGCTCAGCTGACAACCAGAAATCCATCACTTCAATAATTTTTGGTTTTAATTGTTCTAATATATCTTATGAATCTAATGCAGACCTCATTCACAGGTATCTTGAGCACACCATGAACATTTAATGTCTGGTTTTACAGAAAAATGTAAGTTATATTGACTGAAAGTAAAATTAAGTGGTTTATACCATCAATAAATAGAAGAAATATCAGTTTAAAAATATCACAGTATCATTTAGACTGGAAAAGACCCTTAAGATCGCTGAGTCCAGCCATTAACCTAACACTACCAAACCCAAGTCCACCACTAAACCAAGATCTAGTTGCATTTTTGTCAAATAACAAAAGGATTGATCGTAACAGGGCTTCTAAATGCTAAACCATTTGTGTACCATGGCTTACACTTAAACTTGCAGACAAACTCTTAGCAACTGATGGCTAAAAATAACATGATTATAAGTAAATGACAGCCCAGTAATAAACTTACATCTAATATGCACTCCTGGATTACAGCATGCACTTTAATAGCTACAAGCATGTAGAAGCTGATTGTGGCAATGTCTCTTCGACCATAGTCGTAAAAATCAAATTGCCCAGTGTTGTCATCTAAAAAAAAAACAAAAAACAGAGAAAAAAGAAAAAGTGTGCATTTTTACATTCTCCTGAAGGAGTATCCTGTGCAACCACAAAGGGCAGCAGTGACCAATGTTCTTGGAAGTTGTAACTAGTGCCCTGTATCCATTTAACGTAAGTTTTACATTTTTGAAAATTACTTCCTATGCCCGATTAGTTAACCTGGAACTTCTTTTCCTTCAATACAATGATACCATTATAAAAGCCTAGAACAAACTGAGAGCACTTTACACTGACCTGTTGCTTCAATCCATTTCTTCCATTCTGGGCCATTAAAAAAAAAAAGAAAACAACACACCAGTAGCCTGTCCTCTGTAATTTGGCAGAGACCAAATGAGATTCCATCTTAAGAAGTAAGACCATATGTAGGAAAAAAGAAACTATATGGTGAGGATAGTATCCCTAGTAGTTCAACACATTGATAAGTAATAACTTCCTGTCCTGGGTTCAGCAGTAGCAGTCATGTTTTTTCCTTTGTGTTAACTGGTGCAGTGCTGTGTTTTGACTTCTAGTTTGAGAACAGTGTTGGTGAAGCCGATGTTGTCGGTTGTTGCTAAGTGATGTTTACCCTGACCAAGGACTCTGTGAGGCTCATGCTCTGCCAGGGAGGAGGGGAAGCTGTGAGGAAGCAGAGACGGGGCGCCTGACCCGGGCTAGCCGGGGAGGTATTCCATAACACAGCACGTCATGCCCGGGGTGGGGGGTAACTGGGAGTTACCCGGAAGGACAGGAGCTTCCGGGTGGAACTCGTTTTCTTGGCCGGTGGTATCGTATTCTCTTCCCTTGTTATTTTCCCTTATCATTGTTTTAGCTGATAGTAGCGGTGGTGATTTGTTGCTGGACTGTTCTTGTCTCAACCCATAGGAGTTGCACTCTCTCGATCCTCCTCCCCGTTCCTCCGGGAGCGGGGAAGGGAGGCGGAAGGGAGGCGGAAGGGAGGCGGAAGGGAGGCGGAAGGGAGGCGGAAGGGAGGCGGAAGGGAGGCGGAAGGGAGGCGGAAGGGAGGCGGAAGGGAGGCGGAAGGGAGGCGGAAGGGAGGCGGAAGGGAGGCGGAAGGGAGGCGGAAGGGAGGCGGAAGGGAGGCGGAAGGGAGGCGGAAGGGAGGCGGAAGGGAGGCGGAAGGGAGGCGGAAGGGAGGCGGAAGGGAGGCGGAAGGGAGGCGGAAGGGAGGCGGAAGGGAGGCGGAAGGGAGGCGGAAGGGAGGCGGAAGGGAGGCGGAAGGGAGGCGGAAGGGAGGCGGAAGGGAGGCGGAAGGGAGGCGGAAGGGAGGCGGAAGGGAGGCGGAAGGGAGGCGGAAGGGAGGCGGAAGGGAGGCGGAAGGGAGGCGGAAGGGAGGCGGAAGGGAGGCGGAAGGGAGGCGGAAGGGAGGCGGAAGGGAGGCGGAAGGGAGGCGGAAGGGAGGCGGAAGGGAGGCGGAAGGGAGGCGGAAGGGAGGCGGAAGGGAGGCGGAAGGGAGGCGGAAGGGAGGCGGAAGGGAGGCGGAAGGGAGGCGGAAGGGAGGCGGAAGGGAGGCGGAAGGGAGGCGGAAGGGAGGCGGAAGGGAGGCGGAAGGGAGGCGGAAGGGAGGCGGAAGGGAGGCGGAAGGGAGGCGGAAGGGAGGCGGAAGGGAGGCGGAAGGGAGGCGGAAGGGAGGCGGAAGGGAGGCGGAAGGGAGGCGGAAGGGAGGCGGAAGGGAGGCGGAAGGGAGGCGGAAGGGAGGCGGAAGGGAGGCGGAAGGGAGGCGGAAGGGAGGCGGAAGGGAGGCGGAAGGGAGGCGGAAGGGAGGCGGAAGGGAGGCGGAAGGGAGGCGGAAGGGAGGCGGAAGGGAGGCGGAAGGGAGGCGGAAGGGAGGCGGAAGGGAGGCGGAAGGGAGGCGGAAGGGAGGCGGAAGGGAGGCGGAAGGGAGGCGGAAGGGAGGCGGAAGGGAGGCGGAAGGGAGGCGGAAGGGAGGCGGAAGGGAGGCGGAAGGGAGGCGGAAGGGAGGCGGAAGGGAGGCGGAAGGGAGGCGGAAGGGAGGCGGAAGGGAGGCGGAAGGGAGGCGGAAGGGAGGCGGAAGGGAGGCGGAAGGGAGGCGGAAGGGAGGCGGAAGGGAGGCGGAAGGGAGGCGGAAGGGAGGCGGAAGGGAGGCGGAAGGGAGGCGGAAGGGAGGCGGAAGGGAGGCGGAAGGGAGGCGGAAGGGAGGCGGAAGGGAGGCGGAAGGGAGGCGGAAGGGAGGCGGAAGGGAGGCGGAAGGGAGGCGGAAGGGAGGCGGAAGGGAGGCGGAAGGGAGGCGGAAGGGAGGCGGAAGGGAGGCGGAAGGGAGGCGGAAGGGAGGCGGAAGGGAGGCGGAAGGGAGGCGGAAGGGAGGCGGAAGGGAGGCGGAAGGGAGGCGGAAGGGAGGCGGAAGGGAGGCGGAAGGGAGGCGGAAGGGAGGCGGAAGGGAGGCGGAAGGGAGGCGGAAGGGAGGCGGAAGGGAGGCGGAAGGGAGGCGGAAGGGAGGCGGAAGGGAGGCGGAAGGGAGGCGGAAGGGAGGCGGAAGGGAGGCGGAAGGGAGGCGGAAGGGAGGCGGAAGGGAGGCGGAAGGGAGGCGGAAGGGAGGCGGAAGGGAGGCGGAAGGGAGGCGGAAGGGAGGCGGAAGGGAGGCGGAAGGGAGGCGGAAGGGAGGCGGAAGGGAGGCGGAAGGGAGGCGGAAGGGAGGCGGAAGGGAGGCGGAAGGGAGGCGGAAGGGAGGCGGAAGGGAGGCGGAAGGGAGGCGGAAGGGAGGCGGAAGGGAGGCGGAAGGGAGGCGGAAGGGAGGCGGAAGGGAGGCGGAAGGGAGGCGGAAGGGAGGCGGAAGGGAGGCGGAAGGGAGGCGGAAGGGAGGCGGAAGGGAGGCGGAAGGGAGGCGGAAGGGAGGCGGAAGGGAGGCAAATAACATTCACACGTGTTACAAAAATACTTGAGATGTTCCTATTTACTAAGAGCGGGAAAACATACCAGTGAAATTCAATTCAATTCAATTTAAAAAGCATGTACCAGGAGCAGTAGATCTAAGAAAGCCGTATTTTGTAGAGGTGTCTGTCTTTTGACCCACAGGGACTCATAGCCACCTCACTTTTCTTTATACACCTGAGACACTGCAGTTGAAAAGAAAGAACTTGGACTAAAACTAATCAAGAGCCATGCTCATCCTGAGTTACAGGCTTGTATGTCTAACATTTCCATCTTTCAGTTTTCCCTTGAGAGGGCATTAATTTCGATGTCTCTTATCTATACAGTCACTTTTCATAAACATCAAGGAATTTTGTTACCTTTACGACCTTTACCCTTGTGAAACTGTTTGCCTTGTCCAAAAGCCAAAGTAGAGAAATACAGACATCAAACAACTTTTTCTTTTTTCTTTAAAGGAAACTCAGTGAGTTGTCAAGGAAGCAATTGCTGCTTCCTGTATCGTGAATGATACATTAAGGTCCTGATGCACAGGACATTCATACATCTCTAAGTGTCACATATCCTACTTCTACATTTGAAAGCGGCTTGTGGTATAATCAATGAACAAGTAATTGCATAGCAAATGCTATTGCTGCCTGGTCCCTAGCACTCCTTTTCAAAGTGGATCTTTACTAGCAGTATATTCATTGTTTTCGGAGGGCCCACACTGACGCCTCAAAACTGCTTGTGCAGAACTCCACACCTCCTATTAAAACTAAAGGAGGTTATACATCGTTCATTCCATTGTAGATATATACATACACATATATACGCACATATGTATGCAACAATGTCGTGGTTTAAGCCACTTCTTCATAGAAATCACACTGCAGGCATCTTGATAACTGACACATGGATTTGACTTTTGTCTCTGCTATTTTATTTCTATTTGATGCTGCTCAGTAAAACTCACTCTGTCCATCTCAAGTTTTCAACACTAAATATCGTGGGAAATATTTGCAAAATATGATAGATATTCATTCCTGCAAGCAAAGTTGATCAATGAATTATTTTGAGCATACTGAATGCAGTCAGGGTACTACATTATTTGAAGGGGCCACAGCACAGACATCTCAAGTTTGGAAGTCAAGATTAGAACAAAAGTCATATATTTTACTAATTTTGGGGGGAAAAAAATAGCTAGAAATGTCTCCCTTTGTTATTTAAAAGTATGATTGAAGCAACAACATCAGTTACTTGAGAATAATAATGTGATATTTTTTAAATATAAACCACAAAATCCATTACTAATGACACAAGAAATCATGAATAAAGAACAAATATATAGAAGAGTACAAAACTATCGTTACTTGATAACTCTTGTTGATTTTATCAAAAAATGGAAAGAATGCATGGTTTTCATATTAAATTTATATTAAAATGCATGTCAGTAGCAGTGTTAGCCATGGGAAAAATAACCCACTTATTCACAAGCAACAGAATGTATCACAAACACTAGAATGTATCAGTGAATATAGTATTAGTAAATCCAAAATTAGTCAGACAAATATGAGAATAATACTATATTATAAAAGTAAATTGAAGCAATGAAAGGAAAAATAAAGTAATTTTTAATAGTTCAGCTCTTGCATTACAAGAATAAATAGACATGATTTAATCTCACCAATGGTATAGGTGACATTGTACTGCAGAGCAACAAACATAATGGCATTCTTGGGTGGGACCTGAAATTAAAAAGAGAAGCAGAGAAAAAGTATCAGTGTTTTCAACAAGCTAGACTATAAACATCTAAAACTAGAAGGTTATGCCATCAGCTCCATCAAAATGTTCTTCTACATGATTTAAATCAAAGAGGTCCCAAGAGTATTATTCATCTCCACAATATGGAGGCTCGTCTTGTTACAAAACCTTTACCATTTACTGCATAGGGTCAGACGTTGAATTATGTCCCTTTACCTGACAACTGATTCTTTTACTAAATAACATTCTAAAGTGTTTAGAAGTGTAAATGGCTTTAATCTTTTTAAAAAGTTAAAAAACTCTTAAATTAAATCAGATGGAAGGTTTCACCTAACTTTGCAAGATACTAAAAAAGCAATGCTCTGGCTAAGTGTCCCATGAGTAAATAGATAATTCAAAACATCAGAGTAGAATTACAAGGTTAATCAATTTCTTGAATGATAAATCAAGCATTTTCTAAAAAATAACATTACAATAAAAGTAACCAATGTTATACTTTCATGTTACTTTTTCTCCAATGGCAAAACTAGTAAAAAATTAAAAGCCACCAAAAAAAAAACCCCAAAACCAAATATAACACTTTCAGCCATCCCCACCTCTTCAAAATATTTTGCCATTCCTATGCTGCAGTATATTTAGCCCTCATCTGTAGCAATGGAACTGTACATAAAGTGGATTACTGTAAGAAGTAAATGTGTTTGCTTGGTTTAGTTAAAAATTACATTATCTGGTTAGCACAACTTTAAAAACAAACATTTGTGCTGATATAACTGAAAGAGTCATAAGCTCTTGCAGGATACAAGTGGAAAATAAAAACAATCAAACGAGAAAACCCACCCCTGGTTCCTTTGCTGCAAAAAAATAAATCAATAAATTAAAAATGCAATACATCCTACACTGTCAAGAACAAATGCATTTATTATGTTTGTAAGCACTCAGTTATCCAGATCATAAATCAGAGAAGTACAACAGGCATAATCTTAAAACTGGTGTAAAAAAAAAACATTGTTGAGAGGTTGGTTTTTTTTGCACTTTCACTTCAGCTGATCTTCATAGCTATGACTTAAAACAGAGAAATAGAAACTGAAACCAGAAAGCTACTTTCGTCAGATGTTACATCATCGGACAGTGTAATTAAGAACATTCATGAGTATATGAAACAAGCACTAATTTATCCAGCTACAAAGTAAGCAAGAGGCACAACAATGCAGAATAATATATGTAGCAAAAAAAGGGAGGAAAAGGCGAATTGCTTCAGTATACTAGGAGAACACCTGTGAAATTAAGCAGTAGAAGAGTCATAAGACTGAAAAGTTCTGTTAAGAAGGAGCCTTATTAAGGAAAACGAAAGTACCAATCTTCCTGGCATACAAAATTGACTTTCAGACACTGCAGTTCTATGAGCAATCTAACCTTTTGTAAAAGTCAGCACTACTATCAAAAGGCGCAATTCTGCCTTTCTCTTTACTGCCAGTTGCTCCTTGTCTCTGTCCCACATTTATGTGATCAAAAGTAGTGGCATGGTGAACTGGACAGCAAAGTTATACAAGTTAAAATTGACCTAGCAAAACAGGAGAGAGAAAAACCCCTATTAATATTAACACATACATTTCTTAATATGCTGCACGTAAGTTACATATAGTTATTGAGATAACCATAAGTAACTTGTGTTATGCTTTTAGTGTTCTTGTTTGAATACATACTATTATACTTCTTATTGTGCAATTTAAACAACTGCATATTCTTTTTGATGCAGAAATCATTTGTTTGATCGAGATACCTCTCTGTTATGGGAGGAACAGGGGTGCTATGTTACAGGTTAGACCTCTGTATTGCAGCTTTGCCTCATTCACTGCAGAAAAGCAGGTGTATAGGAAAGCTGGAGAGGGGCTTTTGGCAAGGGCATGTAGGGACAGGACAAAAGAGAATGGCTTTAAACTGACAGAGAATTCCTCCCCCCCCCCCCCCCCGTACCTCAATTATGAACCCCATCAGGATGAGCATCGCCAGGAAGGACGCAATATCCTCGAGGTTCTGAACGATGACCTCATGGTTTATCACGGCCGGAGTCCTGTATTTCCTGCGGAGCCTCATAGCAATGACAAACCGCACCTCAGCGACCACCACCTCACGCACAGTAAAACACCGCCAGCACAAAGAACCCGCCCCGCTTCCGGGTTCGGGCGAATCAACCTTAAAGCTGCTTAGGATTGGCAAGTTCTGGCAACAAATCGTGAAGAGCGGTTTCTAAAGGAGGCGGTGTTTCTGAGGCCGCCGGCTCCCTGCCAATCCCACATGGACTGGGTTGTGCTCCCCTGCAAGGCCGCAGCGGACCATAGTGGGCGGGGTTTGGCTTGTGGCGGGTTCTGAGCTGAGGGGGTCCCGCCTGCAGCGCCTCAGTGGGGTGAGCGCCTTTGCCTCTCTTCGGTTCAACCCGGTGTGGCCTTTCCGGAGGCCGGGCTCGCCGCAGCTCCGGTGGTGGCCAAGTAGCTCTGTGCTCCGAAAGCCCTGCGATGCACGTTGGTCGGACTGCTATCCTCACGAGTCCAAGGGCTGTGGTGGTGGGAAGCGGCCCCTCATCACCCACCTCTGGAGTTGTGCTGTGCTCCCTCACCTGCGACTAGACAAAGACGTTGAAAAACTCTATTGTCTCTCCATTAAAATGAGAGAAAGAAGATTCAGAGTGCTTTGTGGAATTTAGGGGGAAAAAAACACACCAAGTTATCAAAAAACTACTGAAGGGAAGAGTGAAGGCTACAGGGTGGCATAGCATCCAGAGAACAGGGTTGGAAGAGGGAATAAGAATTAGGTCCATCTGGCAGCCGGATGTCCCCCCCCTGCTGTGCTGACTGGCCTCAGCTGAGTATAAGGTCTGCCTATATCCACGCAACAAATAGGACCTGAATTCAGTTCAGCTGTGAAGCATATTTGCTTCCTATCGATTATTTAAATAGGTGATGCTCACTGAAGCTAGTTTTTAGCGTGCCTGAGTTGCTTTGTTACATGTCCTGCTTAGTTGTTAAGTTTTGCTATGTTCTTACTGCTTTTTCCAGCCTCTTTTTTGAGTTTCAGGCTAATATATTCGGAAACTGGACTTGACATTTGAAATGAGGAGTTGCTACAGAGCACAGGTGTTACTTGGAGCATTCATTTGGGAAGCAACTGCCATGCATGTTCTTTTTCTCAGCTGAAAAGAGGAATTAAAACCAAAATACTTGTAACAAGTTGTTTACAAATCATGGGGGGTTTTATTAAAAAGAAACAATATAATTGAAAGTATTTTGTAATTGTTGAGCATAATTGCTGCTTCCTTTTTTCTAAACCTACAAAAATAATAATGACTGAGAATTAACTGTGATTCAAACCAGTTTCATTTCTTCTTGGGACATATCAGAGACAGGAGCAAGGAATGCTGAGTAGGAATGGGAAACAAGAAACAGGAACTTGGAACTTAATTTTGGAACCCAGAACATACTAATTTCATAGAATCATAGAATAGTTAGGGTTGGAAAGGACCTTAAGATCATCACAAGTTCCAACCCCCCTGCCATGGGCAGGGACACCTCACACTAAACCATATCACCCAAGGCCTCGTCCAACCTGGTCTTGAACACTGCCAGGGATGGAGCATTCACAGCCTCTCTGGGCAACCCATTCCAGTGCCTCACCACCCTAACAGGAAAGAATTTCTTCCTTATATCCAATCTAAACTTCCCCTGTTTAAGTTTTAACCCGTTATCGCTTGTCCTATCGCTACATTCCCTAATGAAGAGTCCCTTCCCAGCATCCCTATAGGCCCCCTTCAGATACTGGAAGGCTGCTATGAGGTCTCCACACAGCCTTCTCTTCTCAAGGCTGAACAGCCCCAACTTTCTCAGCCTGTCTTCATATGGGAGGTGCTTTATGCTGTTCTTTTCACTATATTAGAGTAAGCAAGCTCGTCAAGATTTTTATTGCAATATTAAGATGCCTACTGTAAGGCCTTGAAAAATGTTATTTAAGCTCTAAGTCCCAGGTATAAAGACCCAGAGGGTTTTTTATCTCTTTGTTTCCAGTGTTTCTCTGTTATATGTGGGCCCGTTTCACTTACAGCCCACTGTGTTGTTTCCATTGCCCTATCCTCTTAACAAACAAACTTAGCAAACGCAGCTATTCATATTTTCATGATTGTTTTTTCTGGTAAAAAAAGTAAGCAAAACAAAAAATCCCATGGCCTTTAGTTAAAAAAAAAATATTTCCACTTTTCTATTGTCATTTTATTTATTTAGTCAAGGAATTAAACAGAAAATTAGAAAGTTATGTCCCACCAGCCACCTAGGTTGAAAATAACTGCAATTATTTTCTTTATATAACTGCTTTAATAGTTACTCTGCTGTTAATATTTAATAACTGTTACTAACTGCTTTAATAGTTACTGCTGTTAAGTTTTATTGATTTGCTGTTCTTCTATATAGAAAGCAAAATGAAATTAATGTCTTTTACAGAATTGTAGAAATCAATTGGAGATCTGCTTTACCACACGGAAGTAGCTAAGAATGGCTCCTTTACTTTGTACTTCAGTTAAACAAGAAGACCTAATTCAGAATTTGAGTGGATCCAGAGAAGAAAAAAGATCCAGTTATTGTCATGGCGTAAGTAAACCTAGTTTACAAATCACAAGGCAGATTGGCTATATGATTTCTTCTGTGTGTTAAAAGACTATCCAAGATTGGGATTTTTTATTTATTCTTTTTTTTTTAATTTTATTGGGCACTGCTTAAACACAAGATAGCATAGAGACTCTCTAATGGAATTTAGGATTAAGCAAACAAGATAAATTCACTGTGGGGAATAATGGTACCCTGTAAGCCATACAGTGGTATCAAAACACGTTCACAGTGTTCTTTTGGGACTTTGAGATGAGGGAGGAGAAATAACTTAGGAAAGATAAGATGGGAAAACAGAAGAGACGGGGGACCTGTGTAAATCATTGAAGAAGTCAGCCTGGGGTGAATAGCTAAGTGTTTTGCCTGTTCACAGTCTTCCTAAAGCTCACTGAGTTCTAGTTTATGGCACATAAAGGGTTCTACCTTAATTTAAGAAGGATAATGCCAGATATGAAGCAAAACACAGTGTAAGCTATATATATAGAGAGAAAGTGATTATTAGGGATTAAAATTACAAGAGCCTATTAAGCATTGTCCATTTGGGGAATAAAGGAATTTAAAAAATGAGCTAAGAAGAGAGGTTTTTTGTCACACTATAAGTTTTCATATGAAGAAATAGTTTTGGGCTTTCCTTTAAAGTATATTGTCTAGTCATTTTTGCAGACGGGACTGTAGATGACTGATTGATATGT